CAGAGGCGGCGCTCTCGCGGGGCGAACCACGGAGCTTCTCGCAGGGCATCGGGCTCTCCGCGGGCGAGCTAGCGAGACCCAAGAGGGCCGACAAGCTCGACTGAATGGTCGGCGCCCCGACGGCGCCTCGCCCCGTCGAGACCTCGCTGCAAGCCTGCGCAGGCTCGAGGCTCGAAAGCTTGAGTCAGCGTGGCCGCGGGTTGTGTTAGCTTCTTGCTGTTGTGAGCTTCTGCTGGCTAGCTCGCTGTAGTTGGCTAGTTGTGTTGTCTTCGTGTTGCTGCTGCTGTTTGTGCTTATTGTTCGTGGTGGTGGCTTCCTGTTGTTAGCTTAGTGGCGTGGCGGTTGCGCGTGCTTCTTGTCGTTGGCTTATTCTTGTCGATGGTGGTTGCAGCATCTGGTTGATCGGTTATGGTTGACTTCTCATTGCCAGCTTATGGTTACTAGCATATTGGTGGCTTGTTATTGTCATAGTCTGGTCATTCGCATATTGTTGGCGCTGCTAGCGTCCTGTCGTTATCTTATTGTTGTTGCTGGTGTTGTTGCTGTTGTTGGTTGCTCTGCTGTTCTCGTTCCTGGTGCTGTTGCTGCGCTGGTTGCTGGCGTTGTTGCTTGACGTTGTTGCTGTTGTTGTTGATGTTGCTGTTTTTGCTTGCTGTTGCTTTTGCTCGTGCCGTTGTCGATTCCCCCCTCTGCGCCGCGGCCTGAGCGCCCGGCCGCAGCTCTCAGCGGCGATGCAACCGTTGGAAAGACGCCCTCGCCATGGCCTCGGCGCCCTCGTCAGGAGCGGCCGCTGGCGGGCCCTGACTCGCCGGTTCGAGGTCGCCTCCGCGAGCTGGGCTGGGCGACTTGGAGCCTGGACTCGACGACGTCGAGATGGTGATTCTCGCGCTGGCTGTTCTCGACCTGCTCCTCCGCGGGGCAGCAGTTCTCGATCTGCTCGGCGGGCGGCTGGCCCCTGAGCTCGCTGTCCTCGGCCTCGTCCTCGGCCTCGCTATCCTTGACCTCGCTTGCCGCGCGGTCGCCGCTCTTGTCCTGGAGCGCAGGCCCCCCTGTTCCTCGACGAGCCGGCTGTTCTAGACGGCCTCGCCGCCCTCGACGGGGGCCTGGGCCTGGGCGCCCTCGTCGTCCAGGAGCTGGCTGTCCAGGGGCTCGGCGTGGACTTGGGCCCGGGCGTCCGCGCGTTCGTTCTCGCGGCTGCTGGCTCGGCCCCCCCCCGCGCGCTCTCGCCCCGCATCGATCGCGATCTCGAGCCGAAGCGCATCGCCACGACCGCTGGCTCGGCCATCTGCGCCCGGCTGGAAACTCCGGCAGGCCCAGGGAAAGAAAGTTGATCACATGAGCCTACATGGTTATGGACGGTTGTTGATCTTGTTGTTGCTGTCGCCGGCGTTGCTGTTGTTGTCGTTGGTGTTGCCGTTGATGTGGCGGTTGCTGTCGTTGTTGGCGTTGCTGATGTTGCTTGCTGTTGTTGCGCAGGTTGCTGGCGCTGCAGAATGCTGTTGTTGCGCTGGCCGCTGGTACTGTCGTTGTTGCAGCTGCTGCTGCTGTTGCTTTCGGCCCCCGCCGCCGTCGCCGTCGCCGACTCGCCGACTCGACGCCGTCGTCGCCGACTCGTCTTCCACATCGCGCATTGCTCCACGTAGATTGATTGCACCACATGGGCAGCGCCGCGAAAATGGCACAACATAGACTGCACCACATCGAGCCTCGACGACCCTCTGTCCTCGCGGCCTGGGCCCGACGACGGCGACGACGACGGTCGACGGTCGCCGAGGCTCCGTCCTCGACCCTCGGATCGAGGACCCAAGATCCTCGGGCCCACGCTGGGCGATCCTCGGATCTAGGATTCAAGGTGCTCGAGGATGCTCGGATCCAAGACCGAGTGTCCATGATCCGAGGATGGGGGATCGAGTCTCGTCGACGGCGGCCTGGGCCAGATGACGGCGACGAGGGCAACCGACGATCGCCGGGGCTCGACCCTCAGACCGAGGACGCAATATGCTCGAGTCCATATTGGACCCAAGGTGCTCGAAGATGCTCGGGCCCAAGATCGAAGGTACTCGATCCGAGGATCGAGGTTGAGACCCGTCGGTGGCGACCTGGGCCCAACAACGGCGACGAGGGCGATCGTCGATCGTCGAGGCTCGATCCTCGGACCGAGAACGCGGGATGCTCGAGTCCAAGGTGGCGATCCTCGGATCTAGGATCCAAAATGTTCGGAGATGCTCGGATCAAAGATCGAGGTCCCTTGGCCCGTGGACGGGGGATCGAGCCTCGTCGATGGTGGCAGGGGCCAGACGGCGGCGACGGGGGCGATCGACGACGACGGCGACGGGGGCGATCGACGATCGGCGAGGCTCGACCCCCAATCCTGGGATCGAGGACTCACGATTTTCGGGCCCACTGGGCGATCATCAGATCTAGGGTCCAAGGTGCTCGAAGGTGCTCGGATCCAAGATCGCGGATCCTCAGTCCCGGGATCGAGCGCCGAGCGGCGTTGATGGCGGCCTGCGCGTTTTTCACTCGGCGGGAGGGGGCGCAGCTTCAAAAACGCACCTCTCCTGGGAAACGCCTCTCGCCAGAAAGCTGCGCGCCCTCGATCGGGCTCGAGCGATGGACCTCGAACGGCGAGGTCTCTGCGCCGCGCGCCCTCGACCGGGCTCGAGCGCTGGACCTCGAGAGGAGGGGTCTCTAAGCCTTGTCCCCCTTGGCCGCCTGACCCGCATCTGCCTCGCCCGCCTTCTCCGCGGCGCGCTCGGCGACGAGCTCAGCGCGTTCGGTCGCGATCGCGCGGTAACTGGGGAAGGGCTTCTCGATGGTGCGCTCGACGAGGGCGTCGTCGGCGTTGCTGATCTGCTTCGGCCCCCCGGTCGCGCTTGGCGCGTTTGGCCTGTGCGCGACCCCCTGGAGCTCGCACTTGGCGTCGCTGAATGAATCCACGCGCCGGCGCCACTTGGCCCTGGCCCCGGTGGCTCGAACGCGCTGGCCCGAGGAGGTCATAGCAAAATTCTCGCAAGCCCAGCCGGAGTACTTCTTGAGCTCCTCGGGCAACGCCGCGGTCTTCTCGAAACCCCCGACGGTCTCCCCGCGAGCCCGGCGCCCACCCGCGCCCTCGACAAGAACTCGCATGGCTTGAAGCGCCTGTCCTCTCAGAGAGCGAGCCCGCGGAGAGGCTGGAGGCCGACGGGGGGCTCGCCGAGCATATCCTCGACGCATCCGCCTGTCGCAAGAGCCATTGATCAGCTTCTTGGCGGTCTCGTCGCCGAGAAACGCGCCCTTATTCTCGGCTGCCTCAAGGAGCTGCTGGCGGAAACTCGACGAGAGGATGAACAGCTTTTCGCACTTCTGGTCGTGCCCCTCGAAAGCGTCGACAGTCTCGTCGGTCTTCTCGTGCCACGCCTTTCAGAGGACGACGGTGAGGTGCTCGGAGAGGCGATGTCCTTCCCGTGGAGGATGCCCTCGTACATGATGGGTTCAAGCGCGCCCGCCCCGTAGATCGTCTCGAGCACCGCGCCCACGACGTTACTCGACCACTGGGCGCTCGAACCTCGGAGGTACATGCTCGTCATCCTTTAATCGTCGATGGCCTCGCCGCTCGGCTGGCACTGGCCCATCTTGGCACAGGAAGCCTTCTTGCACAGGTGCTTGAGGTAGCTGTTGGTCGTCACCTGCTTGTGCAGCAGCTCCCTGTTGTGTTTCAGCACCTCGGCGAAGATCTCGGTCAACTCGGGAATGGGCTCGGCAGGGGTCGGTAGCTCGACGCCAGAAAGTACCGCCGCCCTCGCGCGGGCCTGGGAATGCGCCATGTTCGGTAGCGGCGAGTTGTCCAGCTCGGAAAGGGCTCCGAAGTGTCCAGCACGGGGGATTCGAGCGAACGTGGTTGCGGGGAGAGGGGGTGGTGAAGGCGCACGGAGGGGAGAGGAGGAGGAGGAGGTCCTGTGGAGGTACCTACGAGGCCACGAGCTGTGTGATGGGTGTGCTAATCTGGGGGCCCACGAGAGGCGCGGACGCATGCGGGCACCGCCGCTCAAGCCTTCGGTGGAGCCCCCTATGGGGCCACGAACCGTGTGCCACACGTTCCTGACTCGGGAAGGGTTGAACAAGTGAGAATCCCGTAGCCCTGCCACGCGTTCGTGACTTGGGAAAGCTGAAGTGGCGAGACCCCCGTTGCCATGCCACACGTTTTTGATGATGTGGCTGATCAGCATAAGAAGAAAACAACTTCGATTCGCAGCTTTTTTTACGCGATAACACATTTCGGCCTTGCCGTCGCTCTCCCCCGACCAAATCAGCATTGGCCAGAGATAATAAACTGTCAAGGGTTAACAGGGCGGGGTTTATTATCCGGGGGTCGGGGTTGAACACAACGCCGAGCAATGCAACACACTGCAAAGCAACGCGCAGCAGTGCAAAGTAACGCAGAGCAGCGCGAATCATGGCAATTTAATGCAACCGATCCCACTGCAACGCAAAATCCCTGATCAGATTCCAACGCAGCGCCGAACATCCCCCCCATGTGGTTTCTATCTGCAACCGCTGGCCAGAAATTATGGTATGTCTGCTCCTGTGAGGCGTAGACCACGACAAGAAATATCACTCCCCCAAACCTCCAGCGTTATTGAATACCCGCATTCCGACACCGGCCCGCCCCCATCCCTCTGGGCAACAAAGAGAAAAATCAAAGCAACCGTGCAGAAACTACCGTTCACACCCTTCTTGATCTCGCAGGGTTTTCCTGGCGGTCCTGACGGGCACTGCAGTTCTAGAAAAAAACGCACCCCCCCGCACCGCCTGAGTTTCTTTAGCACCCGTATTCCGAAGATGTGCCCCGTGCCCTGCCCAGGCCTCTTCTGGTCAGGAAGGAACGAATTGTCCGAACTTTCCTACCGTCAGATGCGGGCCCATCCGTCTTTGATGTGCTCTCCGAACACGACGCAGCTTGGTGAGTTGGGAGATGCGGACTCTCCTTTTGGACCCTCGTGCCTTAACGACATGCGTCGATGAGTCGCACGTCGCACCACGCCATGCTCGACGGCGCGTTGTCGAAGGGGTGGAAGAGCTTCTGGAGGCAGGCGATGCGCAGCGCCGAACGGCTACCTATACGACTGGCCATGCGGAACATGATGCGGGCGGTGTGGGTGGGCTTGCGGTACCGTCTCTCGCCGATAGCGCCAGCGCCGACGCTATGGAAACGCTTGGACGCTGCACAACGGAGAATGGCTGGCACGCTGCACGGGCCCGCCCGCGTGCCCCCTGGAGAGCAGCCGAGCCCCGCGGGGGCGGCGGCGGCGCACCACAAAGGCGTCAGCAAACTGATCTCCGAGCACGGGGGCCCCGGGGACAGCGGTGGCAGGCCCTGGCGGGGACATGGCGCGCCCACCCCCAAAGGCACTGGCACACGCATGCCGCCAGGGCGCTGGCAGCTGCAAACGATCTGGCTACTGGACGGGTCAGCACCCGCACAGAAAATTTCTTCCAGGACAAGGGGACTGGGCGCCTCGGCAAAAGACGGGTGAGAGGGAGGTCCATTCGGTGGGGTTGAGAATGCATGACATGGTGAGCGTTGCACTCTTGCAAGCCTGCGTAAGACAGTTTCCTGAAATAATGGTCTGAGCAACAATGGTAAGAGTTAAATCGCACATCGCATACGACAAGGGAGGAGGGCGCGTCCATTTCAAACTGTGGTTCTCGCTCGAGGCTCCTCGTGGTTAGAGTTGGTTGATGCAAGCTGATGCTCAACTTCTGCACCAACCACGCGGATGGAGGGCCCGTTTTGCCAATTTGGGTGCCTCCAATGGGGGACTTCTATGAGGGAGTCCAATGGTGGAGTCCTGCTGGGATCTGGGATCCTCTCTAAACCCTGTCTGAATCCGGTCGAAATCTGAGTGAGATAGTAGATACTGGGTTCATAGTGAAATCCTCTCGGGTTCTCATTCGAATCCTCTCGGGCTTATTGATGGAATCCTATCATGATCGTGGTGGGATCGTGCACTGACGGGCCGGGGGGCGGGATATCCCTTCACAGGGCGAGAAGCGACACGGCTTCGCCGAAACGGAGGGGGGGGGTCGATAATTGGAGCCCAGGGTTGCACTCGAATTTCGCTGCGGAAGCTGTGGCTTGAGCAGCACAAGCTTGCCCCAGAACTCGTAGGTGATAAGCTGCTGGAGCCATACCAGCTGCGGAAGCGCGGCGCGGGGTGGACGGCAGAGGCGACAGCGGATGGATTGAGAAGACGGTCCATGTACAGCTCAGGCGTTGTGCGGCCCACTAAGAAGGAGATTGCCGGATGGTCGAACCACCTCGGTTCATGAAGGTTGCGAGAGGTGTCCGCCATCATGGGGCACCACCTTACATCATCATTGCAGTGCCACGCGATGTTCTATCGCGACTGATGTCGCAAATAGCCTTATACCACCATGCTGCTGACTGTAGGCCAGACGCTCACTATGTGGGTGCAGTAGGGCTCTGCGTTAGCGCTGGCCACATGCAGGTGTTGAGAAAAGCGCCTGTCCCTGCAAAATCTAACCATCCACATCTGACCATCGAACCGACACTTCTAGTGAGACGACTTGCAGGAGCTTTGCAGGTTGAACATCCGACGCTGCAGCTGCAAAGTTTACGCAGTCAAGCTGAAACTCTGCCCTCGCAAAAGATCGTCAAAATTCGTTGGTCCTCATCCTGCTCCTTCTGCTCCTCCTCCCCCTCATCATCCTCATCTTCCCCTCCTCCGGCCAGAATACCAGGCCGTTGCGAGCTATGCGGGCTCTGTGGCCTGGTGATCCTGACGGGTGGCCAGGACCTGGCCACCCGTCATGCCTTTTTGTGCCATCCCGGCCCTTGGCTGCGCCCTACGCCGCCTCCAGCGCAGGCTCAGCCTTCTTGCCCATCTTGCTCGCGACGCAACGCCCCAGCTTCTCCGCGGCCTCGGTGTCGAGCGGCTGCGCGTCGTTCGCCTGAGCAGACACCCAGCCGTCCAGCGGCAGGTGCATGTACGGCTGGTAGATCACGCAGTTGTCGTTCAGGAGCGCGGGCACCTGGGAGAAGCTGCTCTTGGCCATGACGAGCACGTCGGCGGCGGCAAAATGAGCCCACACCTCCATGGGGTCGCCGTCCAGGTGGACGGTGGCGCCCCGCGCGCGATAGCCGTCGAAATCTGAGCTGTTCCAGTGCCCCTCCAAGGAGCTGAAGACATGCAGATCCGCGCCGGGCACGTGCGCACTCAAGACCTGCGCGATGAGGCTGAAATACCACTCGTCGCTGACACCCCTCATATCCCAGTTGTTCCCGGCCTGCGGGCCTGAGGCTGCGGACTTGTTCAGTTCCACGTCGCCGCGCCTGACGTGGATGGCGATCGACGGGACGCCCGTCTTGAATGCCAGCGGCCTCGTCCAAACGAAAGACTCCCGCAGCGCGCGCAGAAGTCCGCCGAGCCCACTGAGGGCCAGCGGTCTCGGGCGGCGCCCGCCCGTCCCCACGAGGTGCCGATCTCCCCGCGGCCTCTCCCGGGCCGCGTTCCGACCAGAAATTCGGGGAGAATCCGGCGGTGGCGGCGAAGGCGCTGCAAGACATGATCTCGCCCTTGGTCTGACAGCGCACCGTGTGCGCGTGAGGAGCGGGCGTCCAAGCAGCAGCATTAACACCACACTGCGCGCCTGGAGCGCGTGGGTGCGCGTCGAGTGGGCATCCTGCCGCAGCGCAGGCGGCGCGACGTGCATCAGAGGGGCGCGGGGCTCGGTCGAGGGCGGCCATCCCCGAGTCTGGGTTGGCCACCGCGCGGGCGCGGTCTTGCTGCGCGCGCGTCAGAGGACCGCCGACACGACCCACAGTAGACACATCCGATAAGAAATCCTGCTGCGAGAGATCTTGGGTTACAGTCTTCGTCGACCTTCGACGGCCTCGTGGTGCCCCAGAGCTTCTTTGGGTCCCTGGGCCGTCGGGGGACGAGAAACTTCCGCGGGCCACCTGCCGCCAGGCCGATGCCTGATTCGATGCACCTACTCTGAATTGGGTGGAAGTTGGCGCGCCGAGCCCGTTGCCCCCATCCCACCCCCTGCGTTCTCCTGGCTGCTTCTCCTTCGACGCCCCCTCCCTCCACCTCCACATCCACCCGGATCGGAGATTCGGCTGCGCGGCTCCAAAAGGCAGAAGGCCGACGGGCCAGGTGGCTGCGGAGCAGCTGGGAGCACCTGATCACAGGGATGCGCAGGAGTCCGAGAACAAATTGGAGGCGCGGAGGGGGGGGCACGGCGGAGGACGAGGATGAAGATGAGGAGGCGGACGAGGATGCGTACGAGGACAACCAGGACCAGGAGGAGGAGAAGGATAACAGCCAAGGGGGATGACAGCACGGAGGAAGACCACCCGCGCGCGACACGGATGACAGGCCGCAGCCTCGCAACCGATGGGATCGAAATGCGGTCGATCGCCGAATGGGCGGGATGGAGGGCTCGTCCAGCCGTGTGTCCTGCGAAGCTCTGCGCACTTGGGGGTGTACCACCACGACGCGTTTCCACGTTGGTCCAGCTCGCACGCGAGGCAGTGGCCCGGGAGGAAGATGGACGAGTTGGGCTTGGGGCGTCCGAATTTCGCGACACCCCTCTCCAACGAAACATATCTGGGATAGCTCTGGTTGAATGCCGGGCCGCCGTGCTGCACAAACATCAGACGCGGGTCGCCGATGCCGAAGAAGGAGCCCGCGGCCTGCAGGACGTGGAGGCCGTGCGACTCCTGGCAGACCTTGCGCCCGTAGACGACCCCGCCCAGGGCCAGCTGCGCGTGGTTTGCCATGGCCATGCCGGCGATGATGTCGTGAAGCCTGGAGCCGAGACCGTCTACGCCCTCCTGTGGGGAGACAAGAGGAACACCGATACCGCAAAACCCCATACCTCTCCTGGGGTCAGTTCTGACCAAGAACTTAGAGCAGGACCCAGCTGTGGCGACGAGGGCCCTCCAGGACGAACAGGGGCATCGGCAACTCTTCCTCCTCTGCTCCTTGATGTACAAGCGAGGAGCGTCCGCGCCGTGCAGCCGGCACGCCGCGCAGCGGCCCAGGAGCGTGTCGACCCTGACAGGATCGATCCTGCCGAGGCACATAGACTGCGACACCCTGCTGCTCCTTGGGTCCAAGGACGACGCGTCCCGATCGCCTGAGGGGCAACGACAGGAGGGACCAGCTCAGGGGGGAGACATGGAGCCTGAATCGGCAATACGTCGCCGATAGACCGGCGATCGGCAATAAATCATCGATACTGAACACCCGCCCGTTGCCGAGCGGCGTGGGGCTATCAGAGCCACATCGGCGATCAATGCGCGATTGGGGGTAGATACGTTCCCCCATCTGAGTCTGTCCCCCCCTATCGTTGCCCCTGAGGGCCTAGCCCCTGAAGCGGGTAGACGGCCACGGAGGAGGCCAGCGCCGGCGCGAGCAGGAGGAGCCGCACCGCCATGGCGAGAAACAGGGGCCCGGCACGGCCTATATACGGAGGCTGGCGCAGCGCACGGGCACTGCACCCAACAAAGAGTGCGGTCTGATCGCCGACAGGCGTATCTGTCGGGAAGAGCCATGGGACGAGATGGCCATGGAAGAGGAGGTCGGGATGCAAGGGGAAGAGGAGGAGGGGGCTGGTGAAGCTGCTGCCACCAGGGGCACAAGAAGGTACCAATACCGCGATCAGAGAATGGATGGATTCGACTTGTGTTCGGGATTCGGTGTTCTGTTATGTGTGGGGCCAAGGGGGCCAGGCGGACAGCGACGACGACGAGGGCGACGAGGACGAGGGGGAGGAGGAGGAGGAAGACGACGACGAGGCCCCCATGAGTCCTATCGGCCCAAGCCAAGAGCAAGGGCAAAGGAAGAAACGCATCGGAGCCACATTGGATCCATGGTGACACAATCTTGGGGTCAACTAGGGTTTTAAGGGCTCATCTTGGGGCAATCTCGAAAACGTCTCGGGCTCATGGGGTCGTTCAGGGGCCACCTCGGAGTAACATCGGGGTCACGTGGTAGCCTGAGTCCAGTTGGAAGACAATGGGTTCGTCTCGGTGTTCTCTTGGGTCCGCAGGGTCACTATGGGGTCATATTATTTGGGCCATTGCTTAGCAGGGGTGGGCACCTTGGGGCGACAGGGGTAATTTCGCGATCATTTCAAAACCCATGTGGGCCCATCTTGGAATCATAGTTTCGTTGTTGTCTCTCGTTGCTGTTGCTACAGGTGTTGCTGTTGCTACAGATGTTGCTGTTGCTGCTGGCGTTGATGCTGCTGGTGTTGCCTGGGCTACACGTGGTGCTGGTGATGGCGCTGTGTTAAATGACGAGCCCTCTTGGAACCATCTTGGGGCCCTCTTGGGGCCCTCCCCGCGGAGCTTCAAGAGGACCTCCCAGGAGCTGTAATTTAAGAGGCCCAAGCCAGAGTTGTTACCTTGTTTTTGAAGGATTTGTACGTTCTCGCTTTTACGGAGCTCCAACGCTCGAAGGCGGCCCAAGAGCCACCAGGATCGCCCCAAGACGGCCCAAGAGGCCCCCGAAGAGGGCCCCAAGACGACCCACAAGGACACCATGAGGCCCACAATGCGGGCCACCAGAACTCACGTTGCGAGATTTTGTCCATCAGGATTGCCTCTTATGAAGCGGTGTGGGGGCATGCGGAGACCCTTCGCAAGTAGACGCGGTGCCGGGGTCACCATGCATCCGAATATTATACGAGTTCGCACATCTCTGGGACGATCGCAGAGCCTCTTGGGAGCCCTTTTGGGGGCCTTTGGGGGGCCTGCTGGGGGTTTCTTGGGGCCTGATAAGAAGCCTCTTGGGCGCCTCCCGAGGTATGTCGAGACTTCTTGGGGCCCTTTGGGGGCCCTAAGACGGGGATCGCGTTCCATTCCGGGGATCTGATACCAAGGATCAGTCAGTTCTCGACACCCAAACATGTAATGATTTGTACTGGAACCGCCCGTTCCGACAGGGATCGCGTTCCATTCCCGGGATCAGATACCAGGGAACAGGCTGTTCTCGCCCTCCAAACATGCGATGCTTTGTCTAGCAATCTATGAGGTGTACAATTTGTGGGGCTTAATCGACGTGGTGCTACCTAAGTGGTGCAATGCATGTTGTGGTGTGTGTATATATATATATATATATATATATATATATATATACTCGAACCTTCGCGCGCGCTTCGCGCGCGCTCAGGTTCTAGTTGTGGGCACGGCCTGGTCCCACCCCATGTTCACGAAGCGCGCTTCCGGAATATGGAGAGGCCTCTGATCATTCTCATGCGCTCCTGCGCCCTATTCGCTCGCACCCTGGACCCTGGACCCCTGCCCTTGCGCGATCGTCGTCGTCGATGTCGGCGGCGCATGATCCCTTTCCCATGTTCCGGAGAGTCTTGTCCGGAACATGGGGGCGAAGAAAGGCCTCGCGCGGGTGGGGCGGGGCCTCCTCGGCTTGTGTTGGCCTGAAGGCTCCATGGGGGCTCTTGGGGGTCTCTGGGGGCCTGTATCTGTCGTCTCTTGGAGCCTTTTAGAGGCCTCTTGGGGTCTCTTCGGATCTCCTTGGGGACTCTTGAGGGCCTCTGGGGACCCCTTCGGACCCTCTTGGAGCCTCCTGGGGCCCTCTCGGAGCGGAAAACAGGATTTATGAATGTTTGGTCGTCCTCTGGGGCCCCTCTTGGGGCCGCCTGGGAGTCCTCTTGGGCTGTCTTGGGTGTCTCTTGGGCCGTCTGGGGAGCGTCTTTGGGGCCTCTTGGGCCGTCTTGGGGTGTCCTGGCGGGCCTCTGGGGCCGTCTTGGAGCGTCGGGAAAGCGAAAGGGCGAGCAGGCCCAAAACATAGAAACAACACCATGGGAAATTAACAATTCTCCCTCCTCGGGGTCCCCTGTGGAGACCTCTTGGAGACTTCTTGGGGCGTCTTGGCGGCCGCTTGGGCCGTCTTGGGCTCCTCTTGGTTGTTTCGGGGGCCTCTGGGGACGTCTTGGGGGCCTGTGGGGACACTCTGGACTCGTCCTGGGGCTCTCTACAGGCAGGTTCACGGCATGGCCAGGACTCTCCGGGGGACCTGAAGCCACCATGGCGACGGGGGGCAGCTTGGCGAGGGCCCCCGCCCCCATACATATGTATATGTATATTATGTATTAGAGTATAGGTTATATATATACACTTATGTATATATATATATATACTTATATACATATACATATATATGCACATATGTATATGGAAAGAGGCTGGCGTTGAACTTGTGGTACAGTCTTGGCGCTTCTGGAGGCTTCTTGGAACCTTCAAAGGCTTCGTCTCGTCAAAGCTCCAGGAGGCTCAGGAAGGGCCCAAGAGAGGCCCAAGAGGGCAACAAGAGGGGCCCAAGATAGGCCCGTGATCCTGCTCCCGCATCATCGCAATCACCATCACCATCACCCGCAAGAGCACCACCATCATCAACACAAAAAAGTCGCGGTAATCGTTGACGTCGTCACATTTGTCGTCGTCGGCAGCATCATTATCCTGCATCGTCGTCGTCCTCATCGTCGTCGTTCCCGTCCGCCTCCTCCTGCTCCTCCTGCTCCTCCTCCTCCTCCTCGTCCCCCTCCTCCTCCTCCTCCTCCTCCCACTCCAGCTCTCTCTCCTCCTGATCTTCCTCCTCCTGCAGCGTGTTCCGCAAGGCTCCCGCCGGAACGTGCTGTGCACAAGTTCTGTCCCTGCTCCCGCCACCGTGCCCTGGGTGGTGGGTCAGAGGCCTTTTGGGTGTTGGTTTGGATCTCGTGGTTGGCCTGTCGGGGACGTCGTGAAGGCAGTTTCGCAGCTTCTCGGTAGCCGTTTTGGGACCGTTGTGGGGCCTCCTCGGGGCTGTTTTGTGGCCTCTTGAAGCATCGTTTGGGCCTGATGGGTGCCTCTTTGGGGCCTCCTGGGGCCTCTTGGGGGCTCCTGGGGCACTCTTCAAGAAGGAGGGTCGAATTTTGGAGTCGTGGTCCCCCTCTTGAGCGCATCTTGGGGCCGTCTTGGGGCTCTCTTGGGCTGTCTTGGGCGCCTCTGGGGCCGTCTTGGGGCCCTCTTGGGCCGTCTTGGGGTGCCCTTGGGGGCCTATTGAGCCGACTTGGAACGTCGGACAGCCGAAAAGGCTGGAAGGCCAAAATCGTTCCAAAACCTTCGTCAAATTGACGATTTCGGCCTCTTGAAGCGCTCTGGAGAGGCGTCTTGAAGCGTCGTGGAGTGCCTTGGGGGACCTCTCGGGCCGTCTTGGGCCTATCTTGGGCGTCCTGGAGCAGTCTTTCGGCGACTCGGGGCCCGCTTGGACCGTCTTGGGAGCCTCTGGAGGCCGTCCTGGACTATGTTGGACCTCCCCGGCCGCCCCGTCCTCCCATGGGGGGTCGGGGCAGCTGTTTGTGGGCCCCGGGCCTGCCCCCCAGAGATACATATATATATATATATATATATATATGTATATATATATATATACACACATATGTGTGTGTGTGTGGTGCAGTCTACGTCGTGCAATCGATGTGGTGCAAAATATGTGGTGCGCAACTTGCGTGGTACAATCGGCCTGGTGCAAATATGTGGTTCAACCTGTGTTTTTGTTTGATGGCGTGCGTGTCTACCCTTGAAACGTCGTTGTATATCACGACCAAGAACCGCAACAACAAACGACAACAAGTACAACAATATAAACAACAACAGCACCACCACACAACAATACTTACAACAACAATAAGAACAACGGCAACAACAACAACAACAGCAACACCCCCAACACCATCAACAACACTACGACCACCACTAACAACAACATCAACAACAGCAACATCAGCAACACCACCAAAACTGTAACATCAACAACAACAACTACAACTACAACTACAACTACAACTTCAAGAACTACAACAACAGCAGCAACAACAACGATAACAACAACATCGCTTCTCAACACCCAAGAGGGTCCCAAGACTCCCGCGAGAAACCCCCAAGACGCCTCAAGGGTCCCACAGGACCCCCAGAAGGCCCTGAGAGGTCCCCAAGAAACCCCATCAGACCTCAAGAGGCGCCCGAGAGGCCCCCATCAGGCCCCCAGAAGCTGCCCCCTCCTCCGCGTCCGCATCTCCCGCCCTTCCCCCCGCCTTCTTGGAGCCTCCCAGGAAAGCTCCAAGAAGGCCGCGAGAGGTCTCCGGGTGACCCGGAGATGGCGCTGCAGCATCCCCGGATGACACGGCGATTTTTCGGGACCCTCATGGAGTCTTCTCGGGGCCCTCTTGGAGCCTCTTGGAGCGCTCCCAGGCCGTCCTGGAGTCCCCGAGAGAGCTCCAAGAGGGCCTCGAGAGGTCTCCAGGTCACCCGGAGATGGTTTTGCAGCATCTCCGGGTGAGACTTGTCGGGACCTTCTTGGAGTCTTCTCGGGGCCCTCTTGGGGCCCCAGCAAGCTCCCAAGAGGAGCCCCCAAGGAGCCACCCAAGACGCCCCA